CCAGCCGGCGGCCAAGGCTCCTGATCGGCTCCGGGAGCGGCGCCTCAGGCTCCTGCGCCTGGCGGGAGAGGAAAGGAGGACACTGCGAATCGGACCTTCAGTGTAATAAAACTGGTTTATTTACACAGTAACATGAATGCCACGGAGTACACAGCAAAGTACCACAGCAAACCAGAGTGTCACTGCCCCGATCACGAGGGGAGGCTCGGAGCTTATATACTCATTCATATAAAAATGTGTAAGTATCAATATGAAGCACCAGATAAAGCAACGCAACCGGGAATTCCAGATACAAATTACCCACAACAAATGGAGTTGAAATCAAAAACAAGCAAAAAAATCCCTTTTTTTTTTTCCAAGGGATTTTAAAGAAATCCCATTTATAAAAGATCATCAGTTTTGGAATCCCTAATTTTAAAATAATTTTCCCCTTTTATCAAGAACAAGAACATATTCTTAAATGCTCAGCATAATTAAGATTTAAAAGAAAAAAACCCAAGGATTCCAACTGCAAAACCTTCCAACACCAACAAGCCAAAGGATAAAGAAACAGAGGTTTCAAGTTCTTTTGGAAGAGGTGCAATTTGTTTTATGAAACTACTACGTTCAACTTTACACAACCTTAAATATATATTATATATACAATATATAATATATATATTTTCAACAAAAGGGGGCAAAGAATAGTTTTGGGTTACAAAGCTTCATATACACACATAAATATATGCATATATATGAACATATATTTCTTCCATATAAAAAAAAACCCAACCTCTTCTAAATCCCTGAAATCTTCCCCTTGGATTTAAGGAAAAAGACAAAAATCTTCGGAGCCTGAAGTCCAACGCAGAAATGCCTTGCAACACGGCAAGGGAAAGGCCGCGCTCTGCCTGCTGCAGACCGGAGACCTTACGGGGATTTGACAGAAAAGGATTTTTTGCCTTTTCCTCCCTTGAAGTGTTTGGAACCCTCAAGGGATATCTCCACGGGTGCAGGTTTGGGAGCAGCGCTATTACAGAGGCGTTTCCAATCCTGTCCTGCCCTTCTCGCACGTTATCCTGCTGCAGAACCAGTCACCACGTCCCCGCACGGCGCGAGCGCTCGGGCCGGGCCCTGTCCAGCTCGGGAGCCGGAGCAGCAGCAGAACCTCCACCAACTCGGGGAAAAATGACGGCCCCGTCCCGAAGCAAATAATGCTTTCAAACTGCTTTCAAACTAGTTTCTGTTCGGGGAACCGGGGGAAGTGCATGATAAAGTCTGATGCACTTCCCACTGATAAATATTCCCTCAGAAAAAATGCGAATAAATAAAAAACAAGGCTATTTAATTCATAATTGCATATGGCTGTTGACTACTTAACTGTCTATTAACATTTTGTTAAAAATGAAAAAAAATCTTAATTTGGGTGGGTCTTCTCAGCACAACAACTGAGAAATGGAGACATTTTCATTCAGCAGCAAACACTAATTTTACGTGCTGAACTATGGGACCTCGTGTATGAGGCTGCAGGATAAACTCTCTAATAGCTGACTGCCAACACTCACCTGGTTTATATATCCTCTCCAACATGCTGGAATTCCTGTGTTAATCCATCAAGACGATCCATTCATGTCTTGTGGGTGCTTTTGGCACATGTGGAGCTTACAAGGTGCAAGGTGGAACATTGTGCAGCGCTCCCTGCCTTCTTGTCTGCAGGCCGGCAAGAGGATATTGCAGCCTGAGTTACAGATTTCACCACATGGGAAGTTTAAAGGGAGGCCATGCCTCTCATCTGGCATTCCAGAGGCTCCAGAGTAAAATCCTGGACCCCCTTTATTCCTGAAGATTTCTGGGCAAGTTTTCACTAGTAGATTCTCTTTACATTCACCTGGATTATGCATAGACTGGATCAAATCTGAGGCTTGAAAGGTAAATTGGAATTGGTGATTCACTGGTAAGACACACGGAGCAAAGGCGCCTCCCGACACGTCTCGGGAAGAGTTTTCCAGCGCTGCCGCGTCACAGGGCCGCGCTCGGGTCGCCCCCAGCCGCGCGCCTGGAGTGGATTGTCAGAGCAAAAGGCTTCGGGGATGCTGCCGCGGCCAGGCGAGAGCCACCGACTCCTGACCCGGGCCACCTCCCTTGGGCACGTTCCCTGCCACATCCAAAAGCCGCGTTGGGCCCGTTACGGGAAGCCAAGCTGGACTAGGTTCAGTTGTGCTAAGTTTGTGTAACTGAACCTGCGGAAACAAACGTTCTCGTGGGAGAGGCGCCCTGGCCCCGCGCACCCACCACAGCAGGTCTCAGCAACAGCCCTCGCGTCGCCGCGCGGGCAGCGCCACTGCCGGGGCTGGGCCGGAGGAAAGCGATTCCCGACGACTGACCGGTTCCTTCTGGGTTCTTGACAAGGCACTAAACATTGTGAATCCAATCACTGTGCTCCCTCTGTAACAGCAGAGAGATTTTAATGGCTCTAAAAGGATCAGAAACCACTCGTAATTCTTCAAGCAATTTTCCAGAAATTACTTTGCACTGGAAAAATCTGTAGAGTTCATGTTAAAAATATTTGAATGGCAGCTTTTATTAATAGAAAAATATATATTTACAGTCAATACTGTTATCTTAGATTTGCAGCTCTTCCTATTTCTTGAGCTCGGCTGAAAGTGCTACGCTCCTGAAAATCCCGAGTGTGCACCCGGAGTCGCCGCGCGCGGGCAGGCTCTGCTCCCGCGCGCAGCAGCCCAGGCGCAGGCACAGAGGGTTTTTTCCTTTTGCCTAGCAATTATGCTGTAGCATTCCCGGGGGTGTTTACATTCACTGTGCTGCACACGTTCTCGGGTGTTTATCCGGCACGACCTGCTGCCGGGATGGAGCACCATCGCGAGCACAGTTACCATCGCCGGCGAGGGGCAGGTCTGCAGAGCCAGCCCGGTGCCCCCAGCGCCAGCTCGGGCCAGGTTTTGTTCGACTTTGTTGACCATTCTTTTTTAAAGAAAACAAAAAAGCAAAACCACACGCGCACGCACACACAACACTACAAACTGCTAAAGTTTACCCAGTGCTGCACAAGAAGGAGATTGGTAGTGAACATCTATCCATGCTTGATTATACTGCAGAGCTAAAATGAGTACTGGTTCATCACAAAAGCACAAACTGAAATTAGATAGTTAGAGATGCAAACGCCTTGGACCAGCTGCATTAAACACGAGGGGAGTCGAGCGCTGCGTGCAAGCGGTGCCGAGAGCCCAAACTCTGCCCGTGGCGGCTGCTCCGGCGCCGCGCGGGCACCGCAGCGCCAGCCCAAGGCAGGGCACAGAGCGGCGGGTCACGGAGAAGCTCTCTCCTGCTGTAGTGGAAGTACCTCGACTACATACATTGCACTCGGACCTTCAACGCACTTGTTGTTTTTTGTTTTGTTCTTTAATCAATGCCAACATCCTAACCTTTTTTGCCAAAAGGAAAAAAAAAACACATATCACATTAAAATATATTATTCTTATCCTTGCCTGATCCTTCACTGATACAGGTGAATCAAACAACAGAATAATAATCAGAATTTCAAAACTCTCTAGAATGGTCTCAGAAACAGCCTATACTCTACTGCACAATCGATGTAGGCTTCTCCACAGTGTTCAGCTTAGCTCTGATAGATGCCAGAGAAGACTAATAGAGACATTTCACCCCCTCTGAGTGGATGGGGTGGATCCAGAGCTAGTTTTGCTGACCTCAAGCCTGCAGGACTGTTTGTTCAGTGTCCACGCATCCGGTCCAAGCATACATATGCTGTATAAAGTGGCTATTTGTTTCAAGGTTGAAGTGAATTGATTCCTCACAGTTTTAACAATTAAAATGAAACATCATTCCCCCCCCAAAAAAAAAACCACACGGATATCTGCGTGTTTATGTGCCAGGAAGGTACAGGAAGGGGCTGCAGATCTAGCATCAGGTAAAGGCTGGTGCGTAAAGTGAACACTGTAATGTACAGCTTTAAAAAATACATACAAGAATTGCACATAGATCCATAGGAGAGAAGCACAGGCTCCTAACGAGGGCTGTCTGCTGTCCATCGCCCAGGTCAGAATATTCGGTGCCGCGTTTCCCCCCGTGTCCGAACTCCGCGTTCCCGGGGAAGCAAAGCCAAGAGCTCCGTGGGCTGCGCTGGTGAAAGCTCCGTCTCTTCAGTACTCAGTAACTCCTCTGCCAGCCCCAGGCCCTGTGTGTGGTGCTCCCCGAGCTATCCTGACAGAGCCCCTTGCTTGGGCTGCTGCCTACTAGACACTGCAAAACCTGGTTACACAGAGGAGAGAAGCAGCCGAACGATGCCGCAGGAAAACTGGATCCCGATTCCGTTCGGTGCGGCTGCCGAGCTGAACAGCTCCCTCGCTAGCTGGGAACCGCTGTGGTTGCCCCTTGCTTTCACCCTCGGAGACCTGCCCGGAGCACAGGGGTCTCCGTGCGGCCCGGCAGCGCCGAGCGCTCCTGCCCCTGCCCACGTGCGGCCGCGCCGTTTCCATCGCGCTTTGCAGGAGAGGAGAGAAGAGGTGGCAGCTGCTTCCCAATGCGCGACTGCCGCAGAGGGAACGTCCTTCTGCCCTCTTCAGAGGAGGCTCCAGAGCCTTCCGCGAGGGACGGGGGATTCCCACTGTCCACCCGGCGCTCCCTGCTCTCATGTAGAACACAGCTATATCCACAGCACATCAGCCACCCGGCCTGGGAATACAGGGAATGGGAAGACAGAAAGTGCATCCCGTGCTTTCTAATGCGCAGAACTTAAGCGAGGGATAACGGTCTGATTAAGGCAGGATCGCTGAAATCAAGGATCCACAGTTAGGATACGGGTAGGCAGTAAGAGGCAGAGAGGGGCGGGAGGACAGAGCACAGATCCTGCCTGCTGCCACGGCCACAGCCAGCAGAACGAGCGCGCTGCGGGGAAGACGGGAGGCCCAAAGCGTTGCAAGGACCCAAACCCCTCCGGATGAGGCCAGAAGAAAGGGGAATCCAGACCAGATAGGGGTGACTGACTAAGCGCAGAGCAAGATTCGCGTGGGATGCGGACTGAAAGCAATGGGGCTTTGTGGCCTGCACCGTGGTGGACCATCACTTCCCATTTAATGATTAATCCATCTCTGCTGATGGTCACTGCCATTGGCTGTCACCAATGCTACACACAGAAATGACAGAAACCATCCAGAAGAGGAGGGGAGTTTGTTCACTGCCACGAGAGGAATAGTGATATCTGTTAAGGTTTGCTCTCCTTACCAACCAGGTCACAAAATGTCTGATCCAAATGTAGTGTAAAACTAAGCCTGGCAGAAAGCAAAGTTTTGACCGCATCAGACACGGGATGCGATGTTTCCAATTAGAACCTGTTTGCTCGGGGTTGCTGGCTTTGAAATCTAGGCTTTTTTTTAAAAAAAAGAAAACAACACTTGTAGGAAGTGTGAGCCCGAGGGCAGGCTGGAGTGAGGGCTGGCGCAGGGGGAGGCTTCGTGAAAAGCAACAGGCTCTGCAAACTAGTGCTGCTGCTGCATGATCCGCACAACGCGGTGAAGCGAGTCGGTAGTGGCAAACGCCAGGTATTGACAACAGAGCCAGTCTTCGAGAGAAACTCCACAGTCCCTGTCCAAGGACTTCTCTGCAAACTTGATCATCAGCAGCGTCCGTTTGATGTCCAGCCAGTTCTGGAGCACGGCATCCCTTCGCGCTGGGTTGGACGACGCACGGAGCGCGTGGAACAAATCGTCGCGTGGACCCCACAGCAAACACTGAAGGATTCCCTTGGCTTCCGATATCAGGATCCTCTCTGAAGGGTTGGGATTCAGCAGGCAGCTGGCAAGTTGTTGGAGCCCTTGGGAATAGAGGGAACGGCAAGGGATCTTGGGGAGGTCAGCACGGGTGTACTCCTTCTCCTTCAGCTCGGGGTTCTCATCAAAGGGGTTGGGTAAGTGCAGCATTTCGTAGATGAGGATGCCAGTCTGGAACTCGTCACACTTCTTGTACTGCGTTGCTGTGATGATTTCCGGAGCCAGACGGGACTGATCCCGGAGGACCTCAGGATCCACCATATGACTCTTCTGCTTGGCCTGGGAGAAGTTGCTCACGATCAGCCTGGCTGGGCAGGCAGTGTTGGGATTGGGCTCCACAGACTCGGAGTTCAGAGCGCTGCCCCCTGGTCTGGAATGAACCAGCAGCAGGTTCTCCAGCCGCAGATCACAGTGTGTGATATGATAGGGTTTCAGGTGCTCCAGGCCCAGACACAGCTGGAGAAGGAGCAGACAGACCTGCCTCTCGTATAGATCCGGGCACTTTGCATGGCGGGGTGCAGATTCCCGCACGAAGTCGGCCACCGTCAAGTAGGGGACCTCCCGCGTGATGACCACGACGCGGCTGCGCTGCTTGCTCATGGTGCCCTGGCCGCTCGAGCTGTCTTTCTGCGAGGCCTCTGTGCTGGAAGGGGGCTCCCTGTTCTTCCGCTCGGGTTCCTCCTCCTCCTTCTGCCCTTCCTCCACCTCTGGAGCATCGTCATCCTCCCACGGGAGGAGGCGAACAGGCACCTCAGCAAGGAAATGGCCACAGTCCTGCTGGATGTTGAAGTTGATGGCCAGGCTCTGCCGGATGGATAAGCTGTGGTAATACTGCTGGGATTCCTTAGCTTTGCTCTTACAGATCTGAGGGAAGAAAACAAACACAACAGACACGGCGTAAGAATCCTTGATTTGTAAATTATATATATATATTTTTTTATTACACACTTTCTTGGTGGGTATCCTCATTCTGGCACTGAACACCAATAATGAAAAAGCGTTCCTGAATGGACCTTGGAAAGCCACCTTAAGGCACGTGAACAGTTACTGTTGCACAGGAGCAACATCACGGCACTAAGTGCGAAGTAGCTTTCCCAGTTTGCCTGCTATAAAATGAAAACCACAACCTACCCCAGGCAGGTCACAACTGCAGTGGGAGCAGCAGCTGGTGCTGGTAAGTTCAGAGCAAAGCTTACTGGGCGTTAACTTGTTTATCCAGCTCCTTCTCCATTCTTCTCTCGGGTTTCTGTGAAGCTTCAGTGGGACGCAGACCATCAACGTGAGATGCGAGGGGATCAGCGCGGACCATCGGTCGGTGCCACCAAAAGATCCCACCACGGAACCCCCACCGGCACCACCAGGACACCTCGCTGGGCATGGAGCCTCCCGGCCGGAGCCACATGGAGCGAACACCCGTCCCACCGCGGCGAGCGGAGCAGGCCAGCGCGTTGGCTCCAGTGACAAAGGGAAGCTCATTAGAGCACAGCACCTTAATTGCCTTCCATCACCTGTCAGGAGCCTCAGTATGTGCTTGTATCTGCCCTACCTAGCTGCAGTTCATTTCTGTCCAGAAATATCTTGCTGCTGGCTAAATTAGCACCGTAATTATTGTCCTTAATCATTATTTACACTGCCACAACGACCGGCAGCGCTGCGCAGCCCGCGCGCCCATCGGGCAGGGTTAACCCCGGCCACCCGCTGCCGTAACGAGCAAGAGCCTCAGCCGCGGAGCAAAGGCAGGAAGGCGCCTTCCTCAGATGCAGCTAGAGCCTCTTTTAGCTCACACCAAAGAAAAGGAGGGTCGGATTAATAAGGCGCAGGAGCCTAGCGAAAGTCAGCGCTAGTTCTACGCATCTCTACAGTCAAGGAGTTCAGCTCTTGGACTAGCCCTAAATATAAGCGCGAGGTGCCTTTTCTGTACACCTCTCCCTTTCTGCTTCTCCTCAGGAACTCAAGTGGGGCCAGCTATACATCGGCCTTTCACTAAAAGAAAAAAAAACTTCCTTTTTTACTTTTTTCTTAAAATATATCTTTTATGTGCTTACATAGTTAAGAACTATACAGTGTCATGGGAGATTCAGTCTTCTGTGCTGTGTCTTCAGGCAGGTAACGTGGTGCAGTCGGCCGCCCGCCTCTCCCCGACCCTGCTCCTGCTTCCACACTTCACGGGCATTTAAGCCTCCCCAAATACGATGTACACTGTAAAGCGCCCGTTCATCGCTGCCATGCACAAATAAAACAAATTTGAAAAATATACTTTCTAGCCAATTTTACTTAAAAGAGGAGGATCTGTACTTTGGGGAGTGCTGGCAGTGCCACCGTTAGACCACGGCTCCTGCCAATCAACATTTCCAAATGTATCTTACACTGTTACGGGGAAAGGGGATTACCAATGGAAAGTAGCACTGTCAAGACTTATGAATGCAAACAGAAAACAGCAAAAATACAATTATATATGAACTGAAAACATCAACCAACTGTCTTGGAAACTAAATTCCTCAGATTTAGTAAATACTTAATATTACACAAAAGTAAAAGAAACTAAACACTATCCTAGCCCTGTCACATGCATGAGCCTAGCAAGACTACTAAGCTCTTCTACTACTATTCTTCTACTACTAAGCTAAGCTAAGGTCCTCAAAGCGCTGTGCAGGTTGTAACTTTTGGTTATCATTGACCTTAGCCAGATCTGAATGGCAAACAGGAGGCAAAAGGCTGCAAGATTCTCTGCATGCCGCAGCAGCCACTCTGCAGCACAGCATAGGAAAATTAGAAAGATGAAATACTGAAAATGCTCCTAAAGAGCCTTCCTGAGAGGCAGGGAAAACACTCCAGTTTAACTTGTACCGCTATGGTGCGATCGGGTCTGTGCTTCCCTGTGGTAACTGTGGCTGAACGGGCGGTCGTGCCGCGTCCCGGCCCCGCTGCGTTCCGGCCCCGCGCCGCCGCGGAGGGGGGCTCAGTTCCAGTGGTGCCTTCCCTTCCACCGTCGCCGCTCCAGCTAAATGCTACAGCTCAAGTATTACCAGGCAAGTCTCACATCTGTACAGTGTTAAAGCATTCTGTGACAGAAGATTTATGATGAATAATCGTAAGTTAAGGAACTCCCTTTAATTTACACTCTGCCAGTACTCGAGTCTGTATAAATTACAGTTCGGAATGATCCATGCAAACCAAAATTATATATTGCCCCAAGTAATGTGGGCTGCTTCATAGTGGAAATGTATTTATGCACTGAACCCAACTTGCACCTTATTTCCGCCCTTAGCCGTCGCTCGTGGAACACGCAGAGGATGAGGCTGAGCCCGGCGGAGCCACGTGCGGGACGGAGCGTTCGGAGCCGCTCCTCCCACCCGGGACGCTGCGACACGGGATCCCCGGCGCGGGAGGTGACACACGGGCCTTGCTCTGCCTCCTGCGCGGAGGAGGAGCACGCTACAGGAAACGATGCCCGCTGCTCATCGTGACCGTGCGTCAAACGTTAACCACCCTACCTTGATTCCTTCCGAGACTTCAGTGACCTAATCGAACACAGAAACGCAGGCTAGAAGAGTTCAAAAGTCAAGCTAACGCGCTGATAAGAGACGTGCAAAGACGCCGCTGCACACGGAGGACTCCCCAGGCCGCCTGCCAGCTGAAACGCTCTCCCAGCAGGAACACGCGGCCTGCGGAGCGCTTGCTCTGTCAAGCCCATTAAAGCGTCTCCATCTGGTGAATGGAAGGCCTTTTGAAGTGCAAGAAAAGGTATTTTCCCTTACCTATAAAACCCCCAAAAGCAGAGGATCAAGCTTGATCCTGGTTTCTAACTACAGTTCCAGGCAGCCTTTTTTTTTTTCCTATGTATTTTAAAATCGGAGTTGTTTTTAAAATCCTGGAGCTGGGAGCAGGGGGCCGAGCAGAAGCGGCCGGCAAAGCGGATCCCAGCCCTGACAAGGGCCCTTCCAGCCAACGAGAATGTCCTGGAAGGGGGATCCCTCAAGCATCCGCTCTCCTTCTCCTCATGTTCAATGCCAAGTCTCTTCCCACCACAAATTAAATCAATTGTCCTTCTCCTAACTGCTATTAAAAACTATCCATTTCCATTCTTTCAAATGTATTTTCACAATCAGGGGAAAAAAATGTAACTTTGCCCGCCTCCTCATTGCTTTCTTCCCAAAGGAACCAGCCCTCCTTTCCCTCTTCTTCCTTCCTACCCCTCCGCTCCCTGCCACTCACTTCCAGCCGTCCCGCTGCGGAGGCCGGACGCAGCGTGTCCGCACGGCGCGGAACGGCACCGTTTCAACACGGCCCGACGAGTCCCACGAGCGGCTCCGCGGGGCTCGGGGCCACCGCTGGGTCAGCCCCGAACGCCCGGCAGGGACATCCTTCCCCCAGAGCTCCTTGGGAGCTCTTAAATGAGATTTTATTTCAGACCCATCTCTAATGAGATGACAAATGAGATGATGAAATGGAGATACTGATTTCATCCCGGGTACAGAGCCATTAGGTATTATCTGTGTAACAACAAAACCGAAACCGAAGACCAAAGTGCCATTATAGTTAAAATCAATACGAAAGTGACAGCATTAATAGAAACGCTTTCCACCCGTTTTTCTGTTGTTAGAGAGGATAACCAGTAAAGAAAACAGTCCTCTAACCCCATGAATGTGGAGCAGTGATGGCTTTTGGACATTCTTCCCACCTTTCCATGCTCCAGGTGAGCACGCACTGGTGGTAGTTAATCTCGTTTAACCATTATTCATCCTAAGCAATCATGCCTATTCCTGATTTTCTCTTTGTATTTTAGATTCCTGACGTATTTCTGCCTTGTTCAGTATGTGCAGGGGTTGCACTTGTCCAATCCCCGTTATGCTGGTTCTCACAACAGCTTTTATTTTAGCGTAACCTTTTCGCAACGCACTTGGCATGACTGATAGGATGCTGGTTCCAAGGGAGTGCAGGTCTGTGCTGTCCCAGCTCTCCCAATTACCGAGAAGATACTACTGCACTTGTTAGCGAAGGAAAAACACCTCCGGGGCTGCAATTTTATGAAAACCCTTCTTGCAAGGCTACTTCTGGTTTTGCCTGTTACAAAAGCAATTTCCTAACCTTGACTGGGTTTATTGCTTTTGTTTCTAATGTGCGAGTCCAGGTAATTTGCACGTGGCTTCTTGAAGCTCCTTGCAAAGACACGCATTAGCAGACGAGGTGAGAATAAAGCAAGGCACATAATAAAACGTTACGACTGGAACTGCACACCCTGTGAGCAGGGCTCTTCCTCTAATGGCCAAGCCCCAGAAAACAGGCTGTGCTCTACCTCGTCTTAACCCAGATTCACCCAGATTTATCAGATGACCTTCTGGTGACACCAGCCACAAAAAATGTTCATTCTTGTACTAATTCTTCCTTTCAGTAGATGTCAAACAGTTACAGCTTAATTTAGCATTGCTTTGTATTTCTCCTTTTGGAGAGCTGGCACTAACATATAATTTTTGACTTAGGACTCAAAGACTCTCAACTTCTTTAGGGGAGGAGTGGGGGGGATCACTGCTGTTGTCAACAAATACGTAACAAAAAATATCTTTTCCCTTAGCGCATTATTTCAAACCAAATATTAAAGTTACCAGATTGACAAGGAGTTTGTTGTGAGCCAGCATTGCTTGGGCATTTCCACTAAACTCAGAGAGCTACTCAAAGGGAGACCGTGGCTCCATACACACTTCGAAAGCATATTTATAAGGCTCCTTCTGCTACTTCCACTTGCTCCAAAGTAACAGAAATACTGTACTTTGGATTCAATAGAGACACCAGCAATTTTAATCCCACCATTTTTCCCATTCTGTTTTGGGGGTAAGGGGCTTTAAATGACAGAAATCCATAGCAGAGCTGTTGGAGGGGGATGAATATGTAATTTGACTCACACGTTAGAGATCCGTAAGAGCAAGCCTGGTATATTTGTTAAATCTAAATTCACCGCATCTCAACACATTCCTCCTGAATTGGGCTGCCTTTATAAGGCTATAAATATTAAAACTAAAAGATTTTGTAAAGGTCTGGTCCTGGACTGAGATCTTGTAATTCCAAGGTCAACTTGAGGGGCAAATGCTAAGGCAAAGTTGAAATTCACTGAAATTTCGATTAAGGGGAAATGAACAAATTACTAAACCCTAACTGATTAGAAAAAAAATACATCCATCAGTATATTAGCATAGAGAATGCAGTGAGAACATGCGCTAAAGAAATACACAGCTAAAGAGAACCCAACACAGCTGAAAGCATAATATGTGAGGTAAGTGAAAGAGAGAAAATGAAAAGACAACAGTAATCCCTTAAGATGGTCCTGCTTGACTTATAAATAAATCAGAGAGCATTTGTATTGAGAGTATATATGCCCGTATCACATTAACTGCGAGGGAGGTTATTTTCAAGAATAACTTTTCCTCTCATCACACCAGCACAACAGTCCCCGGTGACCTCCGGCTCGATGCTATTTTATGGATTCTTCACCAACTCTGGAGACCATCACCCCTATTACACCGCACTAAATTCTGCTAGTCGGTGAACTGATTTCCTGGAGAACATCTGTAAGTACAAAAGAAAAAGCGTGTATTTGTCCACGCTACTGAGTTGTTTTTCCTCTGCGCTGACTTTGTACAAGAGATCCCTGCTCTCCTCCTGAATATCTCTAAGAAAATAACAGCGTGGGTCCTGCCTGGCAGGAGATAACTTGGGGGGCACGTGCCACCCTGCGCAGAGAGAACCAGGTTAGACCTAACCCCGAACTCTGTGTATCGAAAGGCACCGCTTGGCTCCCAGGAGTGTCAGGCTTCAGGCTGAGGTGGCAGCGCCGTGACCGTGTTCCCTCAGGGTTTGAATTACAGTTCACTGCAGCCAGCTCCCCTCCCTGCTGCGGCGCCCCGTGCAACGGAAGCACATACCAAAGTGCGTTTCATCCACGGAGGTGTTTACTCAGTATTTAACACACCTCGTCCCTCTGCTGAAGTGCTAACCAGTTGCAGTGCAGAAAATAAACAAACCAGCTGTCTAGAAGGCTATTTTTTTCATCCTTACATAAAAGAGACTGAATAATGTCAGACTGTTGATTCTGCAACCAGAGCAGGCTGACGGATATAGAGTATTCATGATCTTATTCATGATCTGGTTCTCAGTTTTTGGTGCCAATGGACATTCTATCCACATTACATTGCAAATCCTTTCAAAGAAGAGGTCCTGGTTGGCTAATAAACAAATATAAATGCCAAAGAACATAGCTATGCCCACAGATCTGCTTAAAAAGCTATCTTTCCAATTTCAGGAGAATTGCTGTTTCACATCAGCTGCAACAATCTTACCTTTTAGGTATTTATTTCTTTTTCACAAACAGTCACATGGGAGTGATAACAGTATTTTGCACTTTTTTCTCCCTGAGAATGTCAAGGTGCCGTGGGAAGAGGCTCAGACAGGGCTCTCGTGCCCGGGCCGGGCAGGCAGGGATGGTCCCGGGCTGAACGCGGAGGGCAGAACTGCAGCGGGCAGAACTGCTCGTGGGCAGGCAGGAGGGCCGAGCGATGACGACCCCGGGCTCGCCGTGACACCTCCCTGTCACCCTCCTAGGTGAGCACCGAGAGCTGGACAGATCCTGGGGACAACAAGAGCTCCCCTCTGTGCGCCCCCAGTGACAGCACCCGGCGAGGGAGCTGCCAGCTGCTCATGAGCCCAACACCAGCAGCACATCCCGTGTATCTTATTTCTTGTATTAGCTAGCTGAAGAATAAAGTAGACAAAAAGCAATTGTTCTTTTTGTAAAAAGCAACAAAGCCAACTGGTGTTGACAGGCTCCACTTTTTTATGTACAGCACACAAAGCAATGCTGGGCAGAGTGTTTGAAAGGTTGGTAATGATGCTGGTGAAAGTGTAAGGCTCTGTATGGGAATATGAAGATACATTCGGGTAGAATTTACATTGAAAATCCACAAACATGGAAAACTTGGAAATCTTCCCTAATTAAAAGAGTAATCATATAGGATAATCTGTATGTAGATTAAGTTTTGTCCCTGCATGTTTGCAAGCAGCTGCTGATGGGCTGGATGTTAAAAATACAGCTATATTTTCAATTTTTCATTAAAGACCATGGTAAAGTAATTGAGTTTGGTTCACTGTTTCAATGGTTTGAGACTTGCCAAAGGAAAAAAAAAAAGAGGAAGTGCAAAGACCAGATACTAGTGCCACATGTGGTTTGTGAAAGAAAGAAAAGCCTGTGTCTGGGGATTGTGGCTTCTCACACAGCATTGCCAGCAGCACGCACTTACATTTGTAGGTCCTATCCCAGTTTGGTATGTTGTGAATTAAACCTATTGTTGCTAGGTTGTACTTTTGATGTCTAAGGCTACGTTTTTAGACCCCCCCCTTACCTTGACTGCGTAGTTGTTGAGAGGATCTTTTGCGTAAGAAGCCGGGTAGTAAACGGCATCGCCCGCCTCGCAGCACGGCTTGTCGCTGCTCAGCCTGAAGTCGGACCAGCTGTCCTCCCCGAAGCGCAGCTGGTCTTTCTGTCCGGCCATGAACAAGTCTTCACATTTCAGGGCCAGCTTCTTCAGTGAGTCGGTGTGAAGGTTTCGGATTTTACCTACCACCTCTTCTCGGTTCTCAATTCCTCGATAAAGTGCTTGCCTTTGCGGCTTCTGGACGCCCTTGCCCTGCTTAGTCTGAGAGAGGTGTCTCCCTGTGAGGGACTCCATGCTGTTGGAGCACCTGTCCTTAATACTGATAGTGGTTAGGCTGGAAACACTGTTAGTTGCTGAGGTGGTGGCTCTGGACTTGTCTGTAGGCCTGTCCAAGGAGTCTCCCGACTCGTTGTCCAGGACCTTGAGCTCCAAGCTGACCGACGAGCAGGCGCTGCTCGCTTCCCAGTTGGTGTCAATGTCATAGGTGGGATTGGCCACGATGCACAGGTTGTTCTCCAGAGCTTGCTTCTGGAGATCTCTGGGAGTTGGCTCTGTGTTCGCTCTCAAAATGGTTTTCTTTGGCAGCGGCGGTGGCGTTGGCTGTAAGCTGCTCAGTATCTCCTGGTCAACCAGTCCTCCAAAGGCAATGGCATCATCCAAAGCTCCCTTTGGTTGCCTTGGCTGCTTTGGAGGTATCATGGCTGCTCTGGATTGGCCTGTGTAGTGAGAAAATAATAGTTAAAAACATTAGAGCAGGTTGCACACTGCCAATATGAGTAGCAGACACAAAGAAGTTTAAGCAGGCAGAAGAAAAAAGCTGACTAGGGCCTCCTGTTACTTGAAGAAAACCTGGAAGAACATCTAATCAGAAAGCAAAAGGATCAAATGAGCATCATGCAGAGATTGCCACACAGAGCAAGTCTATTTGACTTGGGGCAACTCCTAAGGCCTAGATTTTACAACCAGCTTCAGTCTTGCTGGTGTTTTACATCATACGGGATTAATGACAAGGAGTCATTAATCTGGCAAGCAGAAACCAAAAGTGAATGTTGACGCTCTGGCCGAATTCCTGTAACAGTCATTTCGTTGCGTTTCCCTCGATGCCCTCTCGAGTCCATTGCCCCAACGTCCTTCCTCGCTGCCTGCTGGAAGGGGCTGAAGCTGTGGGTGGATGCTGTTAAGCAGCTTGCTGTGCCATCCCTCAGAGAGGTGCATTTCTCTGGCAGGTGAAGTGATCTCTCCTTTATATATTCTAATACTTGGGTGAAAAGCACTGGGGATCACTTTGATTTGAAGGATGACGAGACTGGAAGTGTTATTTCAGAATGTAAAGCAGGACACTTGAGCCACAAATAATGTGTTTTAGATAGCTCAGCAGTCACATCAGGAAAAGACAAAATTGTACCAGTGCATTCATTAGCTGAAAATGTTACATCTGTGTTTGTGAAGTCACTGGTTTCAGTAAGAGAAGGATCATATTGTGAGATTGCCAATACAGAAACATTATCTTTTACCCTGCAATTTCTAACACCCTTTGTCCGCCAGTCACAACTTCCTCAGGAACAATTTCCCTCGCTCGCTTGCTGCGGGCACCTTTGCTGGGAGGATTCTGCTCGGGATGAGCCGACCTAGAGGCAGTCGGGAGGTTTCAAACGGCAGCTCTGCGACACGAGAGCCCGGGCTCTGGGCTGCGAGGCTCATTGCTCACAAACACGGGAAGATAAAAACATCCTGTCATGTTTCAGATGGATTTTAGAGAGGACAATTATATTTTATAACTGCCTGAGTCCTTGGAAATAAAGAATAAATACACAATAATAGAGAGGGTAAAAAACAAAAACCAGACTATACAAATGAGCAACTAACTGCTCTTTGGGACAATTAAACAGTTGTTACTCATGACAATGAGATATTTTTCCATTCTTTTAAATTGAGAACTAACCCATTTTAAAAATGGGATATCTTTCCACTCAATAATCAACTGCTATTTTCAGAGAAATCATTTTACAAATTTTCCACGACTCCTGTGAGGGTCATTGACTATCATGTCAAAGTAGGAAGCCAATTTTGACAATTGTGACACAGCAAGCATGAAATGAACACTCTGTGTAATGGCAGCTGAGCAGCTTTGCTTAGAGGGGAACAGCAAGGAAAAAGACACTGTGACTATTAAGGCTGCTGTTAAAAAAATGTGTGTTGTGCTGAACCTCTGTAAAGTGAGGGCTGAACTGGAACACACAACCAAACTGTGGGGAACCTCAGATTCAAATTTGAATTTCATTACTTTGCTCCATAATTAATAATAAATGATTGTGCACTCTCTGCAAAGAAAAAAAAAGATTGCTTATTGTACACTTTAAAATATGCCGCTACAGTTTTTATAAATAATACAGAATCCAAAGTCCTGTTGGTCAGGATGCACGGGCCCTGGAGCATTGGGTTAGGCTGCAGGAAAAACCTCTTTATTCAAGGAGATCAAGGAAGCTGGTGGGTTTTTTATACCCACGAACAGAAACACATTGAATCTCGAGCTCCTAACAATCATTCCCTGGAGACGACATGGCAAATGAAAGTTATGCTTCTATGTTTTGTTTAAGCTCAAGAAAAGCCTTGCAGATGTTGAGGGAAGCCTGGAGAGCCCAATGCCTAAAATCTGAGTTTTGAGCAAGCAACTCTATTAGCTTGGTGCAGTGCACGGGCAGCGGCCTCCTCATCCTCACCCTTAGCACGGGCTGCCCAGGACTGCTCTCGTGGGCCACCTGTGGCTCCCATGAAATAAAAACATCAAGAGCTGGAAAGAGCAGAGCGTCCCTGTGCATCCCGCTCATGTTGCTGTCACGGCTGCTTCAGAAATGTGACACTTAGGGGACCCTCTGCTGGCTCCTCTCTGATCTTCCCCTCCCAGCGAGAGCCCTCGGCAGCAGCATCCGGCTGGGCGCCCTGCAGGTAGCCCCAACCTTCGGAACTCCACCAGCAAGCAGCGTGTGGCAGACACCAGGGTGGCCGTGAAAGGCACAAGCGACACCGGCATGGCAGAGCACAGCCCGACAGCACAGCCCCACGCACGCGGGAAGCGCGTTCCCTTTGCTTCTCCCTCAGCTTCCTGCCTCCTCCCCACACTCGCTGCTGTTTCTCTTGCCCAAGCCGTGACCCACGTGCCTGTCCCCTCTGGCACCGCTCTGCGTTGAAGGGCACGGGCTGTCCTGCCATTGCTGCCCTCTTCCCCGTGCGCAGAAGGAGCGGGGGCTTGGAGGAAGGCGCCTCATCGCGCGGTGTCGTGCCGACCCCGAGCGCCCGCAGTGCGAGAGGAGCCGCACGAAACCAAGGCGGATGAGGTGCCCAAGCAAGGCAGCAGCAGAAAACCGCTCCGAGAAAGAGAAGATTCGGAATCGCTTTCCTTGCTGATTCTCCGTTTCCCTTTGGCTTCACCCCGCCGAGCTCCGCGAGCCACACGAGGACAGGGGTTGTCCCTCGCTGCAACCCAGGACTGCTGCTGGCTGTGGCTTTTAGAACCGCCACATGGAAACACAGTCTGAGGAGCTTTTAATAACCAGAAACGGTCCTTGCGGGCGCCTGGTGGGGGTGGCAGCGCCCGGGAATTTCGTGTAAATCTCCTACATAGTTACGTTTTCAAATAGTCTTCACGGAGCAAAGGGAGCTCATGTTACAGTGGAGTTTCTCCCCACATGAGCCAATTTTCCATACGGAACGCATCCATCCGGATAAAGCCTCTGAAAAGCTTCACGTCTGGACTGTCTGTATGGCCAGTCCTTAACCCTGTGCATTTCTTTCACGCTCACATTTCTTTCATCCTTCCAGCTCTGCTCTCCAAAAGGGGGCTGTGATGCTGCCGGCCCCACATTTTTTATATCATTGTCTCATAACAAAAAAAAAAATCTTTTAATTTTTTTCCTTCTCAAAAGCAGATGAATGTTCTTCTACGCACAGGCTATGGCAGAGCCTTTGCTTCTTTTTTCTTGCCTATCAACTTCTCTCCCCATCTGCGTAACACTCTGAATTTCCTTACCTGCTACCATCGATTCACAGAAAGTAGAGAATTCAGCCTAGGCTTCGTTCCTGGAGGCCAATGAAAAGGAAAAATGGGCACAGTACTAGGCTACCACTTGCAAAGATTTTTGAAGTGGCTTCCAAACCATTCAAGGGCAGAAAGAAGTTAAATCTTTATATATGTATTAATAGTACACTGACAGCAGCTGCATAGAGAGCTTTAAGTATTTTTACAGTACAATAATATCATCCATTGAAGAACTTCACTACACTATTTAAATATTAATGCTTTAAGCCCCTAGACACCTTGCAGAACCACAAAACTCTAAATCAGCCTTAAAAAAAGCCTTTTATTTTTTCTAGGTAACTGATTTATCTTTGGACATTGCATTGCAACCTGTTTATATTAGCTGAAGAAACTATCAAATCGGACACCTTGAGCTCCAGTTTAATTCAGTTTTATATTCCATAAGCGTAGGCTTTTCTTAGAGTAATGACTTCAATAATTTCTGTTTAGAATTCATAATGCCGCTGTATATCTTTTTTTTCTGCTCAGACCAGCAGCATGTGCTGTAAAAAAATCCCAGAACTGTGGAGAAAAAACCCCACTTGCTTAGGAGGGGAACCTGCCCTGGGGACTCGTCCGAGGCCTCCTTGCACCCTTCCTCAAACAGGGCTGCTCCTCAGGCACCAATTACTCTACAACACAGAACATAGATTAGTCCAAAACATCAATGGTAACGGGCTTCTTTATACACTTTCTCCCATCTCATTTTGCTTGTGGCATGGTAATTTAAGCTACATTCCCTTTCATTCTTAAAAACATGTTTCTAATTATATGTTACCATCTCTGACCCGAGCACGGAGCGCCTGTGGCAAGATGTCAATTAGAAAAATGAGCCAAAGTCTCCAGCACCCACAGCAGTGACTTGGCTATTATTTCCATTAACAACGTGCTCAGTTTTAGCAACCACTGCAGCACCACTAATCCCAAACCTCCTAGAGCAGGAATTTAGGTGAATGAACAGGATCCAGGAGGCTAAAGGGACTGATGCCTCTGCCCTTCTCTAGCTATTGTATCAGTTTGACAACAATTCCACATTTTGCATCACCAAGAAAAGCAAAAATTTCCAGCCCCTGCTGCACAAAGACCCTTCTCTGTCCTTGTTCTAGTATTTTTCCCCTGTTTATGTGGGCATTGATCATAATTTGCATTCTGCGTTTTTATTATGGACTAGATTCCAGAAAAAATTCCCTGTAGAAGTAATAGATCAATTATACTGATTTCTAATATCAGTACAAAACATATCCCTCCATAATAAACTCTCTCTGACTGATAAAAATCACTAACAAACCGTGAAAAAATAAATGAATAAAATATGTTCTAACCACTACAAAGGCATCCCGCATACCTCACAGCCACAATTTGGTAAATGCAATCCCTGTACTCCCCTACACTACCAAATTATTTAGGACAAAGAGTTTAATAACCATGATAGTTAATTATTCTTGCATTAGTAGTTTATATGTTTATCGTTAACCTAATGAATGAGGAAAAATCTGGTGCTAGCATGACAATGAATCCTACATAATAAAAAATGCAACATTTATTAACTACTATTCATGGTGCACCTCCTGTTTCTCACCAATAGCTTGAGACTGCACAAAGTAGCTCAGAACTGTATTAATATGGGTTGCAGGTACTGGATAATTGACAACGTCAGATGCAGCAGCTTGTCTGCCTCGGTGACCTGTCAGCTCTGCGCCCCGTTAAAGGTGCTCCCTGTGCGGTGGAAACGCCGGAGCTGCATCGGGCGGACGCGACAGTCGCTGCCCGTCAGCGCTGTCAGCGTCACCGGCCACGCTGCTGTTGCCTGGTTTGGGAGCTGGGCAGGCTGACGCTCGCTGCCCTGCTCGTCTTTCCTGCCTGCCACCGTCCTCCACGGCAGGTACTGAGATTTAGGGCTCTCTCCAAGCTCAGAAATGAGTAAAAAATTACCAATGGTGGCTCTTTTTTCCCCTTTAAGTTAGGTTCAGGAAGACAGTTGTTAATAAAACCAGCTTTTCTTCCTTCCTTCCTTTTTTTTTTTCAAATATAGAAATGCCACCTGGAGCACGTTCACAATATCTTGTTTTATTTATAGTGATGCAAACTCATCATGTCAATTTGCCCAAGCAAATCCAGACAGAGGAAAATGGGTAAAGGAAAGCAGTTTAACAGCCAGCTCCATCGCCTCGTCACAAGCCACAGGGTTCACGTGAATTAACTTCTGTTAGCACAAGGGCACACCTTAAAGAAAAGGTATCCAGCCCCTACCATGGGCTGTTTCTTCTGCCCTATCATTGTGGTGGGAGCTCCTGTTTCCTATAAATCCCAAATGTTTTATATGTTATTTCATTCCCAAAGGAGAATCCCCTGATAAAGTACGTATTAGAACAGTGTTCTCCAAATAATCTTGTACATTAGGCCACAAATTGGTATGTTCCTATGATACAATTCCCAAACTGCTATATGAACTGTAGTATGCCTGCATAAAATACCTTTGATATCCTAGTACATGCATTCTTATGCCTCTAAAACAACTTGGAGGAATTTGTGAATAAGTTTATTATGCCGAGACAATATATTAGCAGATAATATATTAGACAATTGTAGCAGTAGAGACAATAATCCCATTCCAACAAAGTTGCTAGAGTTACATTATTGTAGACTATATGCAGAACTTGCTTAGTTTATAGATCCAGCACGGCTAGATCTATGGAGATCTTAGGAGGGCCAAAACTACATTGAAATTCCACATAGTTTCTTTAATGTTTATTTTTTTAACGCTAGCATTACTCACACAGTAAGAACTTCTCTTCAGTGATAAAAATATCTACTTTGGGGTTAAGCAAGGGGAGATTCAATACAGAGCTACCTGTCTCAAAGAGAGATGGGTTCTTCAGTGGAAGAAGTGAAACATTCCTACACAGCTGCACAAGTCTAACAACTTACATTATTTATTATAGTTTATTACTAGAAATGTTCCCCTGTAAATCAGAAGCTATGTAAAGAAAGGTAGCTGTAGATACAATTTCATTTGACAAAGCAGGAGTCAAATGTAATCTAATTTTATTATATATTCTCTTACTACCCTTTGTTTCAGCTGCGCACATCAATATTTATCAACTTTATAAAATATGTGATTTTGCTGCTTGCCTGATGTAAGATCTAAAACAGAAGTTACTCGGTGTCCCTACCTAGTCATCCCTTGATAGCTATCTGAATGAGAAAGCGGGGCTGCTTGAATAAACCAACAAAACGTTTGAATGGCAGCCAGAGAACTCGGCACCATTTAGGGTAGCACTGCTTTTAACAACAAGCAGCAAGCTTGCCAAGCCTGATTAAAGTCAGGACTAAAAGTTAATTTAACTCTTTCGTATCTGAAATCCACTCTGGTGACAGCAAACCTGAAAGGAACCCAGTGATGAGGGAAAGTTTCTGAATAAAGCGCTAAGAGTTCAATTTTATATGGTTTTATGAAGGAGCTTTTACATACAGGAAGAGTATTGATAAAGTGATGTTTGATGGGCCTGATACTTTATCAGTACGTTTCCCACGAGTTTACTGCTATACGTTAAGCATGTCACATAATGCTCAAGGATCCTCTCTGAAGGAAGGAGAGATGTTGATGACCAGAAGCAGATCTACCTGCGGGCTGAAGCAGCTGCCACCTCTGGATGGAGAACGTGGGCAGACCACAGGCTAACCAGGGGATAGAAGTTTAGTGGAACGGAATCGACTGCCTGGAATTCTAGCCTTTGTCCTTGCTGTTGCAAGGTCTTAGTAGATGTTAACGTCACTCTTGAGTAAGATGTTTTCCTTTGTGCTTTATAAACAATACCTCATTAATGTTTCATTAGCAGAACACAGTAATGAGTCAGCCACTAATTGACACTGAAGCAAAAATATTTAACAACATCACTAAATGTCTATGGAATGTATGCACCAGAGGGTTTAAAAATTTCATCCCTTGAACACGTATGGACATGCCTAAATCTTACCCTGGAGCCATCCCAATGCAATCTATTTTATTCTTGTCCAAATGCTACTCGTGCTGTGTGCTCAGAAGTCTGGTGCCTTATTGGAAAAGAGGAAGTCACGTATTCTTGAACTTAAATAAGTAAAATAGATTTTTTGTTCTAGAAAATCTGGTTGTAAGTATTCCTAAATTCCCAGTACTTCAGATCAAAAGGCTTTAGAAAATTACAGTGATAACACTGAAGCTACTAATTGGGAGGTGCCTGCTTGTCTTGCTCACTTGTCTTCCAGAGAAACCCTGCATACAGCTCTAGCTTGCTAATGAGAGAGAGGAGTTGAACAGACTTCAGGACATTCATATTTTAAACTTGTCTGAGGGAGGAAAAGTAACCTTCCAAATTAGGATAATAAATAGCTTATGGCCAAAAGACGACTACCAATATTTTAGAAATTATTATTGATACTACAAAATAAGCCCTATTTCTTAATGGAGTTCATAAAAATACTGAAATCTAATTCTTGCTTTAAAAAATATATGACAATTTACTCTGCATTTTAAATCTGTGTCAATGTTTGGAGAACAATAAGCCCTATTTCTTAATGGAGTTCAGAAAAATACTGAAATCTAATTCTGCTTTAAAATTATATGACAATTTACTCTGCATTTTACATCTCTGTCAATGCTTGGAGAATGAGACAACAGAATTTTACTTCCTATAAATGGATATTGAAAGGTCAGCCTTTAGGAACACACCTGATGAAAGCACGTTGAGCTGCCATGGACATGGTCCTTCACGGCCTCAGAAACGTATCCCAAGCGTGCTCCAACTCCAGTTCTCCTCCTGGAGGAGGCACTTACCTAAGTTGCTGTACGTAGCGCTGCAAGGGTTCCCGTCCGGAGAACTCGCAGCTTCCTCCTTGTCCTCCTCCGCGTGCGGCGCGCGGAGGGACGACACCGGGATGACGGAGGCGCTGCCGCCATTGTCCTGCTTCACGAACACGGCCCTGGGCACGCGAGGGGACAACTCCTCCACCGTCGTCTCATCGGGTACTTGACTGAAACACACAAAAGGAGATCGTCTGGACACCACGGCGGGGCACTCGAGCTTCCTGGCAAAATATGGGATGAGGAATAACACATCTTCAGTAAAGGGAGTGGATTAGGAGAGAGCTAAGCTCCTTTCACCCTCCCGCCCTTTTTCTTTATAGTAACTTTCTAATCTATCTATCTTCCTTAGCAAGGTGAAATAGCTTTTGCCTGAAAAGGTAGCAGCAGTTCCCACCTCTGCTGCCAAAGGGGTAACAAAACGTTTCCCAGCTGCGAGGCCCCGCACACGTAGGCGCAGGGACGCGGCCGGCCCCGCGCTGCGAGGGCAGCAGCAGAGGTTAACGAGCCTTCCCCTGCCATAACGAGCTTGCTTTAATCACAGGTGCCTGCGTGAAGCGAGCGGGGCTGTACCTCTTAGCAGATGCAGAAGGCTGCAATGATAGATTTCACACACTAGACTGATGAAGGGACCCTCTGGGAGACAGACCAGCAGTCCTTCTAGCCCAGGTTCCTATTTCTCATGTAAAATATTCCAGGATTAAAATCCAGCTGCTAACGCATTAGACCATTTATGCAGTTTTTTCCCATGCTTGCTCTTAACTACGAAGGTTTAATCAAATTGTGATGATGAATAGCACAGAGCTGTGAAAATCATCCAGTCAGTCACTTTCCATGGATGTATTTACTGCAATATGATTGAAAAATTATGCATGATATATCAAATAAAAGAGTAATATGTCCGGATTTATTAAAAGAAACCCTGTCCTATTGAAAACATAGCATCAATTACTAATATTCATGCCACGTGCTAAAGACAGACCAGAAGTATTTCTGTGCCTTTATGCTCTCTCACTCACAGAAAGCAAGGTCTGCTGGAGGCCAAACCTCCTGAGGACGCATCCCGACCGCCAGCTCCCAGTTTTCCTCTCTGCTGCAGTCGGCAGGAGGGATTTTAAACACACGTATTCCCAGAAAGGAGAGGGGAAAGGTGCTGCCTTCAACACACGCCCGCAGCGGCGCAGGTGGTTCATTGGGGTGGTTGTTTCTACGTTCGGAGCGGAGCGATCCCCCGCGTTCCAGCAACGCCAACCCGGGTCCGAAGCACGCGGCTACCGGCCACCCCGCGCCACAGCCACGCTCACCCCGCTGCTGGCCACAAGCGGCAGGGAAACAGCCGCTTGCTCCTCGTGCCGCACGTCGGAGCGTGCGCTGTAAATACAGCCCCGTTAAGGAGTTAACCAGGGATAACTGCCGAGTAAAGCAGCCGTTAAAACTAAAGCAGTAAAAAAGGCTCTTAAGGCAGTAAGAGACTATTGCAAAGCCTTGTGGTTGCTGTAGATCACGGGCATACCTGCGTTCCTCAGCAAGGATGCCTTCTTTGCAATAGAAATGGTCTCCAAGGGCTTCCCAGGTGGGACGCTGCCGCGGCGCGGGAGCTCCCCCGCGGCGGGACGCCGGGGCGGCTCGCTCTCCGCACCACGCGCACGCCAACGCGCTCCCAGCCCTGAGGTCAGAAGCGTTTTGCCAAACAAAGTAACCCAAGAGCAAGGAGGAAAGAAGGGGGGGAAAAAAAACAAAACCCCATCAACTCACCCACTGCGCTCGCTCACACAGTTCCCCATTAAAGGAAACTCTTTGAGGGCCTTCTTGATTCTTTTAATCATGTCTGGAGCCTCGGGCGAGCCATGGGTTCCGGCGGCACTCCAAGTAGTGCGGGGTGAGCGGCGGGCGCCCTGCCGGCCTCCCCCTCCTGCACCTTGCTGTTTACCTTCCCGGCCCTGCCCGCCC